GACCAAATAGTTTGCGTTATATCTTTTGAACTAAATAGAGTATCGTGTTCGTTTTTACGTGAGGTTGTAGACTATGCCGTGAGAAACATTTCTTGTTCCCGGACACAAAACCGCTTGACCTTTACTTCCGGTGTTACCGGAAGTGCAATAAAAACTGAATATAACTCAAAAGCGGAAACATTTTACCACAGACATATATATTATGCAAGTGTTTAGTGAGAAATGCAAGTCATAAAAAACAGTGTGATGACGTCATTCATCCGAAAGGGCGCCACTAGCGGCACATAAAATAGTGTTTATTTTCTTTAATCTTAAGACCATCGGTTCCAATTTTACCAAATCGCCCCTTCATATTCTTTGATTAACCACAGATAACTTGGCAAGGTTTCAAATTCATGACGTCTTCAGACCGGAAGTTACGTCTATGAGAATTTGAAAACGATGATATTATAAATTGAGTGCTATCATTTGATCCATGTCGTATATCTTCGTAGCCCAAATAGCGATATCCATAAAAATGTGAATCTTTTGCTTCCAAATACTAGTGACGTCATCAAACCGGAAGTTAGGCGTTATAAATACATACAATTATATTTTTCATATTTCCGTACGTTAATTATCTTCACAATAAACATTTATCCACTCCGAACTAAATCAGTTTTCACTTCCCGTTTTTTTTTTTTAATAATGACGTCATCAACCCAGACATAACTCGTATGTGTACATAAAATGTTTACGGAAATTTATCACACCGTTTAAAGATGCATTTTTTAAAGCAAAATAATTCATTGTGATGAAAAGGATTTAATTTCGTGATCCTTTGTTATTGCATAAACATATTCATAACTTAACTCGGCAGTTTTTTATGAAAAAAATTGCCTGCCCGACCACTCTGCGTTTGTAACAACAAACGCGAACCTCTAGTTGGCTTTTTCGCAATTTTGCGAAAAAGGCATTCTTTTTGTCTTGATTTTTTTTTTTTGGCTTTTCCGCAAAGTTGCGGAAAAGCCTTTGTTTCTCTACGAATTTTTTTTCTTTTTTATTAGCTGTTTCGGTGACACACCGAAACAGCTCTTGTTTTCGTTAAGATTTTTTTTTTTCTTTTTTTTTTTTTTTTTTTTTCTTCTCCTTTTTCAGACTTTTTCTCCATAGGTTTAACACACGTTTCTTCTGGCAGTCCACTTTGCCACTTTTTTAAATCCGATTGATTTCAGACTTGGTACATACTTAGACCACCACCCACAGATGGTCCTAGAAGAAATTTGTAATCGTGACGTCATCAGGTGTCAGGTTACGTTACATTAAAGATGTATTTTCCCCCATATGTTTTGTACACGTTTTAAAACACTCCAGTTTGGCATCTTCGTAAATCCGATCGACTTTAAACTTAATTCATACTTAGACCACCACCCACAGATGGTCCTAAAAGAAATTCGTGATCGTGACGTCATCAAGTGTCAGGTTACGTCACATTAAAGATGCATTTTTCCCCATAGGGTTTGTACAAGTTTTAAAACGCTCCATTTCGGCACTTTCGTAAATCCGATCAACGGTACACTTGGTACACACTTAGACCATCACCCACGGATGGCCCTTGAAGAAATTGGTGATCGTGAGGTCATCAGGTGTCACGTTACTTCACGTTAAAGATGCACATTTTCCCAATAGGTTTTGTACACGTTTGAAAACGCTCCACTTAGGCACTTAATTTGATTGAGTATATACTTAATACACACTTGGACCACTACCCATAGATGGTCCTAGAAGAAATTCTTCATCGTGGCGTCATGAGGTGTCAGGTTACATCATATTAAAGATGTATTGTTTCCCTATTGGTTTTGTACACGTTTTTTTTCAAACTGAACTTCGGAAGTACAAGTCTGATTGGGTTAAAACTTGGCATGCATATTCAGATGGATGTGTTATAGATGGAAATTGAAGTGACATCATCATCAAATGTCATGTGAAGATCTTTTGATCGAAGCACAAGATCGATTTGGTTGAAAATGGCGAGTACATATAGACTGGGACGTATACATGAAAATTGAAGTTACGTCATGATGACATCATTTCATCACTCACAAGTCATGTGAAGTCACATTAAAGGGGCACTTTTCTAAGGTCAATATGAGGTCCGATTTGGTCTTTACTTGATATGTAGCTAATATGTTTAGTATAGATGGAAATTGGAATTGCGTTATGATGACGTCATCACATTCCACGTGACTTCATATTAAAGGTGCATTAAATGTGTATTAAAGATGTGTCTATTGGCTAAACCGTGTCACACGAGAAAATTGATTTTGATTAAAAAAAATGTGTTTTTTTACACGCCCTGTACATAATGCCCTTTGTTATTTGTATGTTTCATTTTGAACCACTATAATTGTGGACAGAGATAGTGTTTTGTTTATGTTGAGATTTGAAAAGATTTCAAATATATTCCAATATTCTTGGAAGTCTTGACATAAATCCTGCTACTAAAGTTGTTTGCTGCCTTCTAGTGTTGCAAGTGATTCACCAGTCACGAAAACCCGACCCAATAAAGTGTTCGTGAAATATTGGTCTGGTCAAGGGCGTTGCCAGGATTATCCGAGGGGCCACATTCACAGGCAGATGAATTCAGAGGCAGGCAGGCATAATCACGCGTCGTAGTAAAAAATTTCATGACTAGGCCATAGTCCGTGCTGCGTAATTTTTTTTCCTAGGAGGGTTAGGGGCAATGTCATGAATAATTCAGTTTTTCCTTTGAATCATTGCAAGACTTAGGTTCTCGTTCTATTTTCCCCTTAATTTAAAATTATCTCAGTGATAAATTTGGAGAAGAAATATAGCTGATGAAAACAGCGACGACGTGGATTCGAACCAGGGATCTTTGTATCCATAGCTCATCTCGCTATCCACTAGGCTACTGTGTGGTAGCTCGACGACAACCGTTCTTTAAAATGCTTTAATGTATTGTAACTAGTTGAGTAACTAACAACAATGCTGTTGATGTCATTGTCCGTTCTCATGGATAAACATGAATTATTCATGACATTGCCCCTAACCCTCCTAGGAATAAAAATTACGCGTCCGTGCTGGAGGTTAAATCCTGCTGCTAAAGTTGTTTGCTGCCCTCTATTGTTGCAAGTGGTTCACCACTCACGAAAACCCGGCCCAATAAAGTGTTCGTGAAACATTGGTCTGGTCAAGGGCGTTGCCAGGGTTATCTAGAGGGGCTACATTCACAGGCAGATGAATTCAGAGGCAGGCAGGCATAATCACACGTCGTGGTAGAAATTTCACGAAAGGCCATAGTCAGTGCTATAGGTTAACCATGCAAGAATAACGCATTTGAAATTAATGTTGAATAAAATCTGGAATGCTGAATACTTAATCCATTGCAGTGCTTTGCACGTTTTAATCCTTTTGGTTTTTTTAGCTCCATGTTTAACTTCCCCATTCTCCTGACCAAAGAAACCGTTACTATATCACGTGATTCGGGGCAAGCCTTATATGCTAGCATGTGATCCCCAGCTCCGAAATGGTCTGGCGTCTTTGTGCCATTCTCACTCATTGTGAACAATGCATTGATGCCAAGCGTCTCTACGTTATATGCAAGAGCTAGCCCGAGTCATGTGATTAGCAACTGCATCTTTCATGTGGAGAATTTAAAATGTGCCAAGTATATATACATTTTGTATTGTGAGCAAGTCAGAGTACCAGATTTTACATTCCAAAGGGTATAGGTCACTCGCAAATGGCTTATTATTGGATATCAACTGAGGATTAAAAGGGTGCAGCTAACACTGAGTGGATGCCCTACACAACGGGCGAGGAAGAAAGATTGGATATGACAATTTAGGGGCGAAGATATGAAGAGAAAGGCAAAGTTAGATACCAATTAAGCATTTGGGCTGTCGTAATAGTAATGTACATGTACACGTATATGCATAGACACTGGAAGTGCAACTCACTTCAATTGATTAATATTTATTTCCCCTTCGCTTTCACAGAAAAAATACAAACGAAATGTATATACTAAATAGATATACATTAACAAATAAAACAATATTCCAATGTTGGATGTACACAAATTTCTGACAGTGAAGGAAGCAAAATGGATTGTAACATGACACTTTGATCTATATTTGTTTGTACAATGTACTTTAAGGTGTACAACATTACAACTGTTATCAATTAAATAACATTAACTTATACCTTTTTTTTATGAAAAGTTTTGATTAAACTCAATTGCATTTAGAAAACATGAATACAAGGTATAAGCTGCTTCTTTTCCCGAATGCTTCCCTCAAAGGAAATGTACTGCTTAGTTTACAAATTAACGTCCTTATTCAAAGAGACTTTCAATTTGTATTAACCTAGAAGCTTTCATCCAACAGTATCTGTATGATGATGAATGAACACAGCACAAATATGTCACTTTGCAGTGTAACCGACAGATTCCACGGATACTGTGAACATTAAGCCTCACAGTCTTAAACTCTACAAGTGTGAAATGATTTTCAACACATACATAATTTGGACTAAATGTAAGGGCGTACTCCAAACTGGATTACAAATTAATAGCCTTTAACATGTTTAACATCACGCTGATACAAGAGCTGGCAGACAGAAATTAGGCCTGTTAGACAAATGATAAAAGCCTTTATCATCACATGTTTATACAAGAGTTTGACGACAGGACAAAGGCTCACACATATAGTCTTGAGATCACAGAACTAACACTTGTTTGAGATATCAGAAACATTTGAGGCTTTGTCATTTCCCAGGTGACATACAGCAGTCTGGCTTGTATGACAGGTGATAAGTAGCCTTTGACATCACGGTGATGAACAAAGTGACTCACAGCAGTTGGACTTGGATGGGGGGTAATAACAGCCTTTGACATCATAGTGATGCACAAGGTAACTCATAGAACTCTGCCTTTAATGGCGGGTGATGCAAGAGATGGCTCACAATATTCATGATGGGATGAACGGTGATAAGCAGTGGCTGACAGAACTCGGGCATGGTGGACAGATGATTAGTAGCCTCGGACATAGTGGTACAAGAGATGACTCACGTACAGTACTTGGGCTTGGATGACAGACTGTGATTAGTAGCCTGTGACATCACAGTGATGCAAGAGGTGGCTGACAGAACTCAGGCATGGTTGACAGGTGATTAGTAGCCTTAGACATAGTGGTACAAGAGATGACTCACGTACAGTACTTGGGCTTGGATGACAGACTGTGATTAGTAGCCTGTGACATCACAGTGATGCGAGAGGTGGCTGACAGAACTCGGGCTTGGTTGAGAGGTGATTAGCTGTCCTTCACATCATAGTAATGCTATAGGTGGGCTGAAAAACAAAATAAATTGAACTAAACATATTTAACTTGTTGAATGAAAACCTCCATAGATATTAATTTCCTACTCACATAATGCCTAAGACAGTCTATGCATTCATATTGGTGGAAAGGCAATTACCAGTCCACGGGTGATCTGAACTGGCAAATTAAGCATCAGTCGTTTTTGATAAAGAGTTGTCTTTAAACTGCACTCTGTGGCACATGCGGACAATCCAACCACATGAACCATGTGCAATACTATGTTTGAGAACAACTGAAGTAATCTTATATGAGGTAGAATGCTGAACACACCGAGGACATAATGCACACGTGGTCTGATATGAAGATGCAGTAAACACATCACTGATAGTGCTGTGTGCAAAATGCACAGAGGTGTGTGTTGCGCGTTGCGCGTATTGTTTCCACCACCTATCTTTTGGGGTTTGCAAGAATGATGTACATGTACCCGTGTCAAGAACAAGACCTTCCGGAAATCGGCCAGTGAGTGCTTGCCAGATGATACTTCTTTCATAAACTTTTATGTGGATAATACTGTGACAAATTTGCAGTTATAAATTTGGTGTTTGCTTTGAGTAAGCACCCGGTTGCTGTTAGAGGCTCTCCCTTCTGATCAGGTCATTATCAACAACCATGCTCTAACTAATTTCAACCATATTATTTAGAATTGCTTTATCACACTTTCACCAATTTGACACAGAAGATCAAATTGCTGAAAAAAACCCGGAGAATATCAGTTGCTGCAAGTTGCATCTGCTGTTTACTACATGGTCAATAAAAATATGTAGAAAGATTTAATTTACACAGCTACAGCTAATTATATCTTACCTTGAAAAATATAAACTGTGCAAATAGTTTGAATAGTCAGTTTCCAACAAAGGGGTAGTCTTCTCTTCAATGACGTCCACGTCACACATGCACAAATTCTACACACAGAACACACGAAACAAAAACTGAAATCAGTTTTGAGACTTCATATTTTCCATACAAAATTGTTGTCAGTAAAATAAAACAATGAAGTGAACAAACATACCAGTTGATTCTTCTGGAAGTAAGGACTCTGTTTACAAAGAGTGACAAAGACAGAGCTGCACAAGTTTATAACAAGGTCCTTCGGTCTATATGAATTATCTTGTTATACATGTAACAGGTACCTCGTATTAACAGTAATGGAAAACACAGGAACACAAAGAACAACAAAGATTGGGACCTAAAGTTTTGCTTGTTATAAGCAGGATCTTGTACTATTAAAACAGAGCTCATCTTGTTGGAGTTTGACTGCACAGCATACACTTACAATGTACACGTAATGATCTCAGCACATGAATGGAAATCCAAAGTGTCTTATGTTTTTCTTTTAGCGGTCTCCCAAAATGATCCTTTTCTTACCACTATAAAGGCGAACCTTCCGCCCAGGGCCCATAGTTGAAGAATGATAGTCACCATCAACTCATGTTCAATAAACGAGTGCCAACCTGCAAGGCAGGAGTTGTAAGTGTGGCATCAGTGCGCCACAGTAATTGTCATCATCCATAAACAGAAGGATTGGTAAAATGGCACACTGAGCTGTGAATGTGACAACGATGCTCCACAGTCACGAGATATTGTCAACAACCACCGATGAACAGAAGGACTGGTGAAATGCCACACTCAGCTGTGGATGTGACAACAATGCTCTACAGTAATAGTGAGTAATCCTCAACATCCATCGATGAACAGAAGGATTGGTGAAATGCCACACTCAGCTGTGAATGTGACGAGGATGATCCTCTGTCATAGTGAGTAATCGTCAACAACTAACAATGAACAGAAGGACTGGTAAAATGCCACAATCAGCTGTGAATGTGACGACAATGCTCCACAGTCATAGTGAGTAATCCTCATCACCTCCGATGAACAGATGGACTCCGTCAGATGCCACACTCAGCTGTGAATGTGACAACGATGCTCCACAGTCATAGTGAGTAATCCTCATCATCCACTGATGAGCAAGCAGATGGACTCCATCAGATGCCACACTCAGCTGTGAATGTGACAACGATGCTCCACAGTCATAGTGAGTAATCCTCATCACCTCCGATGAACAGATGGACTCCGTCAGATGCCACACTCAGCTGTGAATGTGACAACGATGCTCCACTGTCAAAGTGAGTAATCCTCATCATCCACTGATGAGCAGATGGACTCCATGAGAAGCCACACTCAACTGTGAATGTGACAACGATGCTCCACAGTCATAGTGAGTAATCCTCATCACCTCCGATGAACAGATGGACTCCGTCAGATGCCACACTCAGCTGTGAATGTGACAACGATGCTCCACAGTCATAGTGAGTAATCCTCATCATCCACTGATGAGCAAGCAGATGGACTCCATCAGATGCCACTCTCAGCTGTGAATGTGACAACGATGCTCCACAGTCATACTGAGTAATCCTCATCACCTCCGATGAACAGATGGACTGCGTCAGATGCCACACTCAGCTGTGAATGTGACAACGATGCTCCATAGTCATAGTGAGTAAACCTCATCCTCCACTGATGAGCAAGCAGATGGACTCCATCAGATGCCACTCTCAGCTGTGAATGTGACAACGATGCTCCACAGTCATAGTGAGTAATCCTCATCATCCACTGATGAGCAGATGGACTCCGTCAGATGCCACACGCAGCTGTGAATGTGACAACGATGCTCCACAGTCATGGTGAGTAATCCTCATCATCCACTGATGAGCAGATGGACTCCATCAGATGCCACACTCAGCTGTGAATGTGACAACAATGCTCCACAGTCATAGTGAGTAATCCTCATCATCCACTGATGAGCAGACGGACTCGGTGAGATGCCACACTCAGCTGTGAATGTGACAACGATGCTCCACAGTCATAGTGAGTAATCCTCATCACCTCCGATGAACAGATGGACTCCGTCAGATGCCACACTCAGCTGTGAATGTGACAACGATGCTCCACAGTCATAGTGAGTAATCCTCATCATCCACTGATGAGCAGATGGACTCCATCAGATGCCACACTCAGCTGTGAATGTGACAACGATGCTCCACAGTCATAGTGAGTAATCCTCATCATCCACTCATGAGCAGACTCCGTGAGATGCCACACTCAGCTGTGATAACGATGAATAACAAAGTCATAGTCAGTAATCCTCATCATCCACCGATAAACAAAATGATTGGTGAAATGCCACACTCAGCTGTGAATTTGACAACGATGCTCTACAGTTATAGCGAGTAATCATCATCATGCACCGATGAACAACATGATTGGTGAAATGCCACACTCAGCTGTGAATGTGACAACGATGCTCCACAATTATTGCGAGTGATTGTCATCATCCATTGATCAACAGAACGACTGGTTTACACTACATTTTATTTACCTGGTTTACACGACAATTGATTTGTCTGCTTTGCACGACTATCTGACTGGTTTACACAACTATTGATCTAACTGGTTTACACGACTATTGATCTAACTGGTTTACACGATTATTGATCTAACTGGTTTACAATGTACACGACTATTGATCTAACTGGTTTACACGACTATTGATCTAACTGGTTTACACGATTATTGATCTAACTGGTTTACACGACTATTGATCTAACTGGTTTACACAACTATTGATCTAACTGGTTTACACGACTATTGATCTAACTGGTTTACACGACTATTGATCTAACTGGTTTACACGATTATTGATCTAACTGGTTTACACGACTATTGATCTAACTGGTTTACACGATTATTGATCTAACTGGTTTACACAACTATTGATCTAACTGGTTTACACGACTATTGATCTAACTGGTTTACACAATTATTGATCTAACTGGTTTACAATGTACACGACTATTGATCTAACTGGTTTACACGACTATTGATCTAACTGGTTTACACGATTATTGATCTAACTGGTTTACACGACTATTGATCTAACTGGTTTACATGACTATTGATCTGTCTGGTTTACACGACTATTGATCCGTCTGGTTCACACGACTATTGATCCGTCTGGTCTACACAACTCTTGATCTCTCTCCTTTACACAACAATTGATCTGTCTGCTTTACATGACTATTGATCTGTCTTGATTACACGACTATTGATCTCTCTGGTCTACACGACTATTGATCCGTCTGGTTTACACGACTATTGATCCGTATGGTTTACACAACTCTTGATCCCTCTCCTTTACACATCAATTGACCCGTCTGCTTTACATGACTATTGATCTGTCTTGATTACACGACTATTGATCTCTCTGGTTTACACGACTAATGATCCGTCTGGTTTACACGACTATTGATCCGTCTGGTTTACACGACTATTTATCCGTCTGGTCTACACAACTCTTGATCCCTCTCCTTTACACAACAATTGACCCATCTGGTTTACATGACTATTGATCTGTCTCGTTTACACGACTACTGATCCATGTGCTTTACACGACTATTGATCCATCTGCTTTACACGACTATTGATCTGTGTGGATTACACAACAATTGATCCGTCTGCTTTACACGACTATTGATCCATCTGCTTTACACGACTATTGACCCGTCTGTTTTACACGACTATTGATCCATCTGCTTTACACGACTATTGATTCGTCTGGTTTACACGACTATTGACCCGTCTGTTTTACACGACTATTGATCCATCTGCTTTACACGACTATTGATTCGTCTGGTTTACACGACTATTGATCCGTCTGCTTTACACGACTATTGATTTGTCTGGTTTACACGACTATTGATCCGTCTGCTTTACACGACTATTGATCCGTCTGGTTTACACGACTATTGATCCGTCTGCTTTACACGACTATTGATTTGTCTGGTTTACACGACTATTGATCCGTCTGCTTTACACGACTATTGATCCGTCTGGTTTACACGACTATTGATCCGTCTGCTTTACACGACTATTGATCCGTCTGCTTTACACGACTATTGATTCGTCTGGTGTACACGACTTTTGATCTGTCTGCTTACACGACTATTGATCTGTATGGATTACACAACAATTGATCCGTCTGCTTTACACGACTATTGATCCGTCTGCTTTACACAACTATTGACCCGTCTGCCTTACAATGACTATTGATCTGTCTGGATTACACAACTATTGATCTGTCTGGTTTACACGACTATTGGCATGATCCATCTGGTTTACAGGACTATTCATCTGTCTGGTTTATACGACTATTGACATGATCCATCTGGTTTACAGGACTATTGATCTGTCTGGTTTACACAACTATTTGCAAATTGTTTTTCCTCTTACAATTTCATTTTAATTCACAGCTGAAAATATTTATTTTCTTGTCTGTTTGCAAATTCACAATGTGCAATATTACTGAAAACACTCAAAATATAAACAAACCATGTTTGAAACTTGAGCAATACAAACTAATTCATTTATGAAGTCACAACCGAATAATGACTGCTTCGTGGTAGCTGTAGTAAGTTGAACTAATTTGAACATCAATACAATCTATGTTTCTCACATAAACATGGTCAAGTAAAGTGCCTTTTTCAGTTGTTGCATCACTTACACACTGATTATATCCATGATCTTGCATCAATTTCTTTACACAAGATTCTTTGTTCATGATATCTTCATTAAAATCGCCCATCACAATGCACTCGTTTGAAATCTTGTGTATCTCATTCAACAACATATCCAGCACCTCTACAAATTCCTTTAATGTATATGACGGTGGTCGGTAAAGTATAACAACAAGTATTGGTAATGACTCGTTTGGAATTACATGCAACTCAAATGCGATGTATTCAAGATTATTGATTGCCAAATGTATCCTACTGAACAGTCTGTCCTTTTTGCCACACACAGCTACACCGCCATGACACTGTTCTTTCAACATACATGCCACATGACT